CCCCAAAACCCCAAAACCCCAAAACCCCAAAACCCCGATTAATTTATTTTTATAAAAATATGAGAAAGTCATCCACAAGTAGAAATTATGAAACAATCCAATCCGATTTCGACCAGATGGTTGCTGAAATGCGCCGTGAGAAAATCCGTGTAAGCCCATTACAAAGATTAATCTCATATATCTCCTAGCAATCAGACTTAAAATAATTCAAGAACAATAGAAAAAGTTATGAAGAGTAGTAGAACTTCTTTGTCAAAGAAAAGGGAGATGCAAAGCAAGTCTCCCCAATGGATGATGTTTGATAACTACTATGAACATCCCTGTATTAGCCTTCCTTAACCCATAGCTCCTTGGAAGAGATCAGTCAGACAAGGCAGTGATTTATCAAAAACCCCGTACTTTTTCACTGGTGATGAAAGACACAGTGTCATGGTTTGGAACCCAAATTTCAAACTTTTATAGCACAGAGAGGTTCATTTACTGCCAAGATCTTATAAAAGTCCTGAGAATAAACCTCCAATGAAGGTACCCAAGAAAGATTGTTACGAGTTTTGTAAGCCAGATAGGAACTTCATGACTAAAGTTGGCAAAATGCTTCTAAAAAAGGGTATTAAAGATAGGAAAAAGTAAGTATTTTCAACTTCCGTTAATTTATATGAATAGACTAGATGTATCAAATCGCAACAAAAGGTAAGCCTTAATACAATTCTGCAGGGTCTTTGAAGAGAATAACAAGAGAAGAATCATTGAAGAAATTCAAAGAAAAGCTCCTAAATGGAACATCAATGTCAAGACTAGGCAGCAGGCTTTTGCCACTTATGCAGAAGATAGAGTTCATGTCAGGTCTGAAAAGCAAAGATATGATGACCTTGTCTCTTTCAACACTGCAATGAAGTACTTCTGAAAGATAATCCTTTAGACATCACGATGAAAAGCCCTTTAACAAATATGATAGAGGCAGAAGATTATTCTCAGTTGATCAGGGTGCTTTAATCTAGAATTCAATAATATTTTTATCTTGAGGGGTTTTGGGGTTTTGGGGTTTTGGGGTTTTGGGGTTTTGGGG